CTGGCAACAAAATTGACACCAGGCAGCCGAACTGGCAGCAGCAGCAGCAAAAGGCACCAGCAACAGTTGCTGGCATTGGCTGTCGTCGCTGACCGTTGTGGACACTCGACGCGACATTTGAATGGCTGCCTGTGCCGCCTGCCTCCTGCCACCCGCCACCCGCCGCCCGCCGCCCTCTGCCTGCCACCAGCCACTGTCAACTGTTTTTTCGCTGTTGTTGCTGTTGCCGCAGTCAAGTTGTTGTTGCTGGTGTTGCTGTTGTAGTTTTGGCAATAACCACTTGATAAATGATAAATTAATTGAGTACTATTGCCAAATGGCAAAGTCTTTTTTGCCGCTGCCCTATGCAAAGCAGTTTGATTCGCTTAACTGCATTGATATGATTAATGCAAATTTGAGTTAACAGATTCAACATGAGTTAATTTGTTGGTGGATGTAATTAACTGTAAACTCTATTGTTGTAGAAATGATCATTTATTATTAAAGACTTTTTTAGAATATTAAATAATTAAATATGTATTAACTAAAGAATTATCAGCCAGTTGAAGTTCTATTTAAATGTTTGTATTAATAAAAAAAAATAAAAATAAAAAATTTAAAAATAAATAAAATTAAAAAAAAAATTATTTATAAGACTTAAAAAAAATTAAATTATTAAATCTATTTTAATTAAAGAATTTTGAGCTAGTTTGATTGTATTAATGAAACAAAAAATATATAAATAATCATAACAAATAATAAATTTATATACAGACTTTATGTCTCAATGCATCTTAAATATACAAACAGGAAGCCAAGAGAATAAAACCTTCTAGTAAAAAAAATCAGGCTTTATACAAATACAACTTTGAATGCGCATTAAAGAAACTTAAAATCCTTTCCCATTTTCAATGGGTTCAGGGTATAACAAAAAATGTATTAAGGATTGGTAACTTTTAAATATAATATATATGCCCTATAAAATTAAATGTAATTTCATTTAGAAGATAAATAAGTTTTAAATATAATTTATTACAATTTCTTTTATTTTTACTACTTATTTTATTTTAAATATATGCATATTTTCCTTTCATGATTTGATGCCTAAAGATTTTTTAATCACTCAACCCGCTTCTGGCTCTATATATATAGTATATCTATACATTATATTATTATCATATACCCTCAACACTTTTCATTCTACAGAGCATACATAATTCGTATTCATTTAGAATTTTGTCAATTCATTAAATTTGGTGTTTGGGTGGCAACAAATTGCAATGCATTTCGTAAGTATTTTTTGCCTGTTTTTTTTTTTTTTTTTTTATCTTCAGCTACATTTTGGCTGTGGGTCACAAGGACGTTGCATGTAAATACAATCTAAATCTGTTGCCGTTGCCACACTCGGAGGCAACACGTTTGGTATCGCGTGTAATTAGTGAACAGGTACTTGCAGTCAGGTGCATACTGTGGAGCAGGGCTTAAAAGAGAAACTCCCGAGTAGAATTTCAAATTCAGTCAAAGTAGAAAAAGAGTTTTCCACTTAAGTGTGCAGAGTGGGAGAGAGAGAAACATATATAATTAGCTAGAGAACTGCTGCAGCTAATGCAAAGCTCATTTAATCAGCCTTAAAGATTCTACTATTTAATTAGGAATAGCGGAGTGGAAATGGCAAATGCATAAATAAGAAGATAAAGTGGGCTAGTAGAAAGAGTATACGATGGGAAAAGCCAACGATTTTTGAAGAGTTTATAACTATAGATAAATAAGCCAATACATAACTTGTTATCTATCGAAATATTTTCCACTATGCATAAAATATCGATTTTTAATGGAAAGTCTTTTTGCGTAATGGAAAGTATTTCGATAGATAAAAAGTTATGTATCGATTCATATTATAATTTAATATATGTTTATGCTTTGGGATAATCTTACCATTTGATACTGATCCATATAGCATTATCCACATTAACCCACAGCAAATTGTAGACTTTCGCTCATAAAATCATCAGATATAAGAAAGTTTGTTATCGATATTAATCGATTCTAAGACAACCATAAATGTCATAAATGTATCGATGTTTTCTGCAAATTTGAGTAGCAATTTGAGTAGATTGTAATAGGAGTAGCTAGTAGCTAGTAGCTACATCTCCAAATGTCAAACCCTCATCTCCAAGTTTCATGCCCTCCATGTTATCTCTAGATGAATATAGATCATAATTTCATACTTTATACTTTCAGACACGCCTGCTTTGGCATGTTGTTAACATAAACTTTACACACTGCTTACCCACTTTCCATGAAGTCGAACTATCGCAAAGCTGTCAATGCTCGACTTTTCCAAATGAGGTGTAAAATTTCAATCCACAAATCTCAAATCTACGCGCAGAGCAAATCAGCAGCTAAAAAATAAAAAAAATATATGTTATACGCAAATATTTGCATAACACTTCGTGTTTAGCAAATGCCAATGCAAAATATACACAAAGAGGGAGACAGATTGAGAGCTGGAGCGAGACAGAGAGAGTGAGAGAGAGAGAAGAGTGAGAATGGCAGGCAGCCCTTGTCTAATGTGGCTAAAGCTTGCAGCAATCTGCTAAATGTTGCTTATTTTCATCAATTGCACTGGGGGAGGGCGTGGCAGGGAGAGAGAGAGAGAGAGAGAGGGATAGCACAGGAGACTAGAGACAACAAAATCAACAGCAATGCTAAATTGTTTAATTGAATTTACCGCAGATGCGCTTAAGTTGGCAGTAATTTAGCAAAGCCATGTAGTATTTTCTAAATGTATCTCACAGATACATTTTGTATCTGTATCTGCATGCCAGCCAGGCAGCCAAGCAGCCAGGCAAGCACGGTACGTGCCAGCAGCATGGGCTCGATTGTCGTTTGCAATACAAATACAAGAGAACAGACAGAACAACAAGCAGCAGTAGAAGTCCCCAGCATTTGCAATGCAATGCAAGGCAATGAAATGAAATGTATCTATAAGATACACTCAAGCAGACACATGTAACTAACAGCTCGACGACAATGTCCGTGTGTGTTGTGGTTGTTGTTGCTATTGTTGTTGTTGTTGCTTGTGCATTGGCAAGTGTTTTCTTCCTGTAACTATGCAGTCAATTGAAAATGGCAAAGAAAGTGCCTCGCCTGCTTCTGCCTGCTGCTGCTGCTGCGACGGGTTCTAGATTTCTCCCGGGCCCAATTATGTTCAGGCTCAGCTTCTGCTTTCATTTCTCAATTGGTCAGTCACTCCGGCCACTGGCCAATTGTCAATTGCTCAATCTAGTTGATATTTAAGCTTTAGCTTTTTTTCTCACATATATTTTTTCTTTTTTCTTTTTTTACACACTTCAGCTTTGTGTCAAAGTTCGTTGCATTGCAACACACACACATAGACACACGCTAATTAATTTGTTGTTCTTTTGCTCTTTTCAAGCAGACCTCAAGTTTAGTTCATTAGCTGCAAAGTTTTATTCTGTGGCATCGAACATCATTAGTCAACATTGACAATTGCAATTGGGCAATTCTTTTGAATGCTGCTTAGACATTTAGTGATATTTGTAATGAAGTTATTCTGGTACGTAGAGATACTTCGAGACAGATGTTCTCAGTGTGTTTATCAGCAAAAGTTTTACTTGCAGGTTCATAGAACTTTGTGAACTTAGCACGACTATGTTTCGATACTTTATAATGTTTAGCTATCCATATCAATTCTGATATGCCTTAATATTCTTGATAGTCTTAATAATAATATAATGATAGTCTAATCTTAATCTAATATCTTTCATATACTATAGACAATACTGTAGACTTACTTATCATACTCATCATAATAGACTACTCTTTTTTTCAGAAGCTATTGCCCTTGCTTTAATTATGTATTCACATATCTAATTTCTATGCAGATATTATACAGCAAAAATTAGCAAAACAAACCATTTACGTATATTCTATAAGTTTATTCAATTATGCCATTCTTTTGGCTCAAAAGAACAGTTAAATATTAGAATAGTTTGTAAATTATTCAATCTATAAGGAATTTAAGTACGAAATTTAAAATCAGCTTCTATAAAAACATCAAAAGCTTTGCTTTCTTCACTTATCAATCATATGTAAATTTAGCTATAAAATGCTAGATCTGGAGCAGTAAATATAGTCTGCACATATATTAATATATATCCATCCTCTACCACTAAGAGAGTATTCAGCCTGCATCAGCTCAACTAAAACCAAGCAGCTCATCTGCTCAGACCTCGAAGAATTTACCATAGCTTCGTCTGCAGCAATTGCCGCTCTTAGCTTAAGAGAGCGTTTCGAACAAGCCATGCGCATGCGCAGCCGGCTTACATGCTCTTACGCATCTACTCTCTCTCGCTCTCCCTCGCTCGCTCTCTGTTTGCCTCTCTCTCGCTCTGTTTGTTGCGCTCTTGATGGTCTGCCGGTTACACAGCGTCGCGTCGTCGCTTCGTCTCGATCATCATCGTCATTATGATGGCCAGAATGATCATCGGCGCTAATGATGATCATCTTGACCATTTATGTGGTCGTGTCTTCGTACGTTTTGTTTGTTGGCGTCTCTTTCGGCTGTGGGAGCTTCCAACTTTTCTTTCTGAGTTGGCTTGGAACTTCTTGGACTTGGACTTTCTTGCTTTCAGCATGCTTAAAAGTCTTTTGGAAGCGCCAAGACGACAGTCAGTACGATTTGTGCGCTGCAAGCGTTTGGTACGTTGTAACGGAACTTCGATTTTCAATCAAAAACAAATTAATCATGAAAATAAATCAAAGCCAACTAGAAATATTTTCATAACTAAAACAATACGTAAAAAAAAAGGCACAACTGAAAAAAAAAAACAAGGATGCCCATAGCAAGTGGCAAAAAGTGCGTGAAAACAATTTTTACAAATTAAAAAAAAAAAAATTTAAATAAATAAATTCAATACTAATTGAAAACGAGGCAAATAAATAACTAGAAAAAAATATACATACAGTTAATTGAAAATAAATCAAAATATAGAAAACAAAATTATCCAAATAAAAATTTCATATCAAAATTAAATTAAAAGCAAACGCGAATTGTTTTCGGCCAAATTGTTTATGGATTTGCTCGCATTTTGATTTTGTTTTATGCATTTCCGCTCTAACACGTTGCTGCAACAACGGCTGCCACAGCTGCCACAGCCAGGGCCAGTGCTGCCAGTGCCACTGCCTCACGTCGCATCAACAGGTAAGCCTCGCATTCAGCCAGGATTAGGTTTGCTTTAAACAAGCCAAAGCGACAGCCAAACAGGCAGGCAGCTACTAGACAACAGCCAAAACAGAAGCTGAGTTCGCTCCTAACTCAGCCAAAATCCAAAATCCCGTAACCAAAAGCCCGTAACCAAAGTCCGGCGCAAATGCAGTTCAAGCCGCTGCCACGGCGACGAGTGTCGACAAAGCGGATTACTATAAAAATATTTACAAGCCTTCAATTATGTGTAGGTGTAGATGTATATGTAAGGGCGTGTGCATGTGTGTGTGTATGTGTGTGTTATCCTTTTTGTATTGTTGCATATTATGCGCATATTTGATATTTGTTTTGCTGCCACGGCTGCTGCTGCTGCTGCTGCTGCTGCTGCTGCTGCTGATAGCATATTTATTTTCAGGCAAGCAGCAACTGTTGCTGCCAATTGCCAGCTGCATTCAACACACACACACAAACACACACACACATTATTTAATTTTTATTATGTTCTCTCTCTCGGTATTTTTTTGGGCAACAATGTAAGTTTAGTGTGGCTGAAATAGTTAAAGGCACACAGGTGAAAAGAATGAAATGAAAACTTGTCTTTAATTAAAGAAAAGGAGCAACGCAACAACAGCAACAGCAACACATAAACAAGTAAGAATATTGCAGGCGTGTCTTACTGACTGTGCAATGCTCGCTCGTTGTGCTTATTATGGAAAATTATCAAATATATTTTCTTGAATTTAGTTGCATATGTTAATTACTATTAATAAATAAATAATTAATAAAAATAAAATTAATTAATCAAAAAATTAAAGAATAAAAAAATAATAAAATTGCTGAATAAAATGTATTTAATTGATTAATAACAATAAATAAATTGGTAATAATAATACAAAAATAATGGATAAAAAAATATATATTTAATTATTAATGATAAATAAATAAACATATTGTTTTTTAATAAATAAATAATTATTTTTTAAATTAATTTTTATTAATTTTTATAGTAATTGTCACTATTGATATATAAAAAATTTTTCAAAATTTTTAGTATAGCTTATAAAAATCTGTGGATTAGTTCAAGCGGATATTTGTGCTTAATATTTGTAATATTAGATTTTGAGTAGTACACCTGCACCTACACCTGTATTATGTATATATATATATATATATATATATTTATACCCCAATCAAGTATAATTATGACCGCCAAGTACAATAGTGTATATACCCTATTAATAAATTCCATGAGCGAGCATAAAAACAAGTGCAGCAGCCCAGCAAGCAGAAACGAGTAACACGCAGACACACACACAGCCACACACAGCCACACGCAGGCACACGCACACGGATGTGTGTAACTGGAAAACAAGTTAAAAATGCCTCAGCTACATTTGGTCAAGAAGTTTACAAAGCCAAACATAACCAAACAGTTAAGCAAAGCCAAGAACTATAGAGTAGCTAGAACGTGTGAGACAGAGAGAGACAGAGAACCAGAGAGAGAGAGAGAGAGGCCAGAGGTTGCAGAGTTTTTCCTAAAACAGCTTTTGTGTGATTTTTAATGAACCGACTCAGAGAACACTTGGCCAGCTACTTGGTCAAACCAAAACCAATGCCCAAAAATCCCAGCCAAAACACTTAAAACCTACCGCTTGGCTTTTCCCATAATATTAGCCAAAAAGAATTTAATAATGAAAAGGCTAGAAAGCAAACAATGGCCCAACCATATTTATGCAAGCATTAACACAAGGCATATCCTCTGTCTAGCTGTATTACACAGATATATATAAATGTATATATATATCTACGACTACGCCTTGGCTAACAAGAGTTAAGCTGACAGCGAGAATGCTTGGGCTAAATATATATCCACTGACGTTTGAGTTACTTTCTAAATAGCATTTTACATTTAGCCTCCTGCCAGCGAGATTTGTGCAGTTGCAGTTGCGACTGTAGCTACTGTTGCTGCTGTTGCTGCTGCTGCCGTTGTTCTTATTGCGGTTGTTGTTGCGGTTAAATAAATAAGGCAACGACGTGCTCATAGTTTAGCCACAGCTCAGCAAATAAGAAATTGCCACAGCACAACTGCATTTGCAGCCACTGCAGTTGCCACTGCCACTGCCACTGCTGTTGCTGCCACTGCTGCTGCTGCTGCGATATTATAGATGCGTTCTGTATACGACTTTCCCAACCCACTTCCTTTTGTTATGGCTGTTGCAGTTAATAATTGCCAGACAGTCAGTCAATTTGCTGCACATTAATCAACTCTAACTCCAACTCCAACTCCAACTCCAGCTTCAACTCCAACTGCAACTCTGCACAACCGCTAGATAGCGGGCTCATCTGTAATTTGAGCACTCGCACGAGTATCTTTACAGCATTTTTTTATTTGCCCACCTCTAGCTTATGGCCAAAACGTGGCCTAGGCTTGGCCACTTGCATTTAGCCAAAATGCCAGCTGACCAAAGAGACTCAGCTGTTAGCCGCCTGCATGACATAATAACCAGTCTAGCCTGGTCACAGTCTAGCATAGGTCAAAAGCTGCAATTGCTGCAAACTCCTAAGACTTTCTATCTAATACGCAAATCAGCTAATACAATGGCTCATATACTTATACACATATACATATATATCGTAAAATATTATGAAATGCCATCTAGATGCTCAAAATTTCATGTGAACCTGTTATAAATAGAGAGCTAAATCGAGTCTCGAGACTATGTCATAATATCTACAACGAGCAGCAAACAAGTTGGAGTTAAACATGTGAAGAGCATAATTGTTCAATTGTTTGGCTAGGATGAGCACGATTATAGAGAGCTGTATAGAGATATATGTCATGATTGCAACTATCTAATATATAAATATTAAATTAATGTATATTTAACATATATTAAATTATAGTATCAAATCTGATTTTAAGTAAATATAAAATATAATAACTGATTATACGACTCAAGCCTTAGAAACTACTCAGCTTTTGCTAGACTGATTTCAAGTGTGAGAACATTAACAGATCCATATTTATCGACTTCACATATACATATTTCAAAGGACAATCCAGGCAGTATAATATATTAAGATGTAATGTTTGCATTGACTACAGTAGCATCTGGTTATTAGTACCAGAATTTTACTACGGACTCTATAAGCGGAGTCCTTATAACCGGATTCCAAAGTATATTAATGAGACTTTGGGTATATGTATGTGCCTGTCCTCCTAGAGGATTGATTGATCGATATTATTTATCGATTTTTATAACATTCATCTTAAATCAATACATTGATATATAATATCGATCCTTAAACACGATTTTTAAAACATTCATCTTTAAGGCATCTCATATATCATATATCAAATATATATTTTCAGGGCTTTTCATAATACAGAGACTGATTTAAAAGCATTCCTATATAAAGATAGGGGTGTATGAACCTGTCTATATAGAAATTCAACTACTGGTTTAGTTAGTAGACTTATGAGAGACTTATGAGACTTACCTTCACAAATGCTAACAAATGTTTCGAGCACATTGGGAAATAGATAAAAAAAAATCACATATGCCACTTGGGCCTTGCCCAAGTGCATATAATTTGTAATCAAAAATGAAAATGAAAATGATGGAGACGAGAATGAAAATGAGAATGAGAATGCAAAATGAATATAGATTGCATTTGGCACAAGTATTCGTGCGGCTGCTAATCAAAGATGACAGTCTGAATGGATATATAGGCCTAGACTTTTAATATCACCGTTTTGTGCAGTATTTTCTTGTGTTTTTTGTGCTTTTTTTTTTTTTTTTTTTTTCTTTCCTGTCTTCTCTTTGTCTTGTCAACTTCCATTATTGCGAGCCAAGTTAAATAGCAAGAAGAAGATGCTGTTGCTACTGTTGCAGTTGCTATCGTCGCCGTCGTCGTCGTCGTCTTTGTCTTTGCCTCTTGGGCAGCAGGCAAATGGAGCAAGTTTTTGCAACAACTTCAACGGCAGGCAACAATTTTCGTTTTGTTAATTAAACGCAATTCTATTTATTAGCACACACACAGACAGAACACGCACATATACACACACACACACACAGCTGCAGAGATTGAGCCCCACTTAGATAGCTCTGGTAGTTGTATATGTCTATGTATAGAGAACGTCTCAGCGTATATAATTGGCGAAAATTATTTAATTATTATTAAGTGCAGCTGGCGCCCAAACCAAAAGCAGCAGCAGCAGCCGAAGAAGTCTCTGCAGCTCCAAGTTGCAGCAACTTTTAACTTGCCACGTTGCCACGTCTTGGGCTGAAGTTCTGTTTGTTGTTTCTCATTATACCCAACATCAATTGATATGGGGTATATTTTTATGCAAATATATAGGCTTGAAGAGGCATGGCCTCATATTGGATGCAGAACTGAGTCTGGAATGTAACCAGGAAAGAAAAATCATTTACTCAATCTATCTCGCTGTCTGTTTAAATAAACGCGTCGATCTCGAGAAGCACTAAAGATCATGTCTTGTAATTTAGAATTTATATTCGTCTTTATAACACGCAAAATAACTTTAATAGTTGTTTTCGATATTTCAATTGATTCTTAACTATCGATAAATATCGATGTTTAAAATAGAATTTACAAATATAATTCGAGTGCTATTCTCATTCTCGTACTGAATAAAAAGCAAATTTTGATAGTCTCCATATTGACTACCATACCCCAAAAAATCAAGACATCGAAGTTAGCACATTAGACACAGAAACTTTGTAAATTTTCCCATCATCTCCTAGTCGTGCATACCCTAATCTAAGGCAGTCTCATTTCTTATGTAAAAACAGCAATTTGTCACCAAGTTCTGGGTATCTGTACGTCGAGCACTCCCCATTAGAGCATTTGTTTTATTTATTTCGTTTATTTGCTTGGCAAAGTTTTGCTACGCCAGCTTATGCCTGTTTCTGGCTGTCTTTTTCTGGCTGTTTCTGGCTGTCGCTTTGGCTGTTTTCTTCGTCATCTTCTGC